AATGTACATCCCTAACAACAGAATTGTCTTAGAAAATTTTGCTAATACACAGTTTACATATTTGTTCTATACACAGGCACATCTCCTCAATAACACAGTTGATTTGTCAGAATCCCTAATACACTAACATATGGAACAATGTTGCTCAACGGTTCATACATCACTATGACATGATCCTGCGTGCTTCACTAGCCAATAGCATATAAACAGACGAGAGGAGGGTAACACTCCTCAGTTTTGTTTATAAATATCCATATTGGATCTACAGACTGACATCAAGTTTTTCTAAATTTGACTCTTGTGCTTGGGTTTATTCTATAAATATTACCTCAGAAGCAAAGTGTTCAGGCTAGATATGCAAGAAATGCAAATTCTGAAAAGCTTCGACCTTTATGAGAAAGCTGGCTATGCTCGAGGTAGCAAATAAACCACGGAAAGAAGCCCAGATATAGGGAGCTAATGAATCGAGGGTAAATTTATTTAGAGTACTTTATACAAGGTATATAAATTCTAAAAATGTTAGTTGGTTTGGTCGAGGGAGCAAGTACGAACTTGTATATGAGAGAGGGAGCTGTTCAAGAGAAAATAAGTTTTCTCGTGAAACATTCCTATTTTTCCAAAAGGTTAATTACAGTTGTTCCTCTTTTAACATGGCAGATGTGTTCCAGAAAAGTACTGTGATAAGTGAATTCGTGTAAAATGAAGAGTTACTGTACTATCTGATGTATTTTCACTTGACAGGCTTACAAGGTGTTTCACAGGAACACAATCCCATTGTATAGCAAGGGACTACTGTACAGTATATACCTGTACTGTAGTTTTTATTAGACTAAAAAATTCATCTTACAAAACCTTGCTTATTCTGTCCAATCCATTGTAGAATATACAAAGATTCTACGTTTAACTATTTCATTATGTTAGAATTATCAAACATTGCTGGCATTTTAAGGAGGATGGTCATCATTATGATTTCTGGTGAGAGGTAATTAAAATGTTGGTAGCCTGATCTACTGGGATAAATTAGTAACCAAATTTGATATTTGTTCATGCTGAATACTAATACCATTGTACAGGATGTCCATAAATTATTATCTAACCCATTTTAAAACTTGATAACCTGAAAAATATTATAGACGGAACATGCCGAGCTTATAATACTTGAAGAAAAGCTCAGTTTTTCAGAGTAGACTTCCACATGTGCACTGTTTATTGTTTGAGGTTATTAAAATGGATCGGATAATATATGAACACCCTGTATAATAAATATGGCTTACCATATATGTTAACTAAGCAATGCATTCTGTTACATGCACTGCAAAAGTACAGGGACGTATCCAGAGCATGAGTATTGGGGAAGTCGCATACAAAATCCACATTAAACATAGGCCAATGCATGATGCTGAAGCTACTGTACTGTTTTAATCACATAATCATTCATAGATCCCCTACCTGGTCATAGGGGCTCAGTTCAAAAATCAAATATATACTATAACCTGGAACAACCAAGGGAGGGGGAGTTACAGACACCCAATAACACCCCCTCGAAGTACTGTACAATACTTTCATCATATACATTGTCTTGAGAAGAAGTAGATATGACATACGTCTTTATATCACTATTTTAAGGTCTTGGTTACCTTGTACTTCTTATCTGGTAGGGATGAAAGGTACAGTAGGCTGATCATCCATGAGATAATAAATTCATTCATGTATAAAATTCTGATATCAGAGTTTGTATCAAAATATCTATTAACAAATATTCCAAAGCTCATAGATTCATGATAGAAAGAAAGTGACTTTACAGTGAAACCTCCATATAACGGATATTGTTCGTTAGGTGAGGGTTTCGTATTTAATGAAACCTCGATCTAACTGACTTTCATCTCCATATAGTCTGTTAGATGGAGGTTTCAATGTATATGGTCATCTCTCCTTGAGACTGGTGGTCTAATAAAATATGGGTTCATCAAGACTAAACATCATGTGTTGCACCAACTGAAAGTGGCTACAAAATGCCTTCTCAACCTAATTACTTGCTGTACCTCATACTTCAGTACCTAAGTATGTTTCCAAAACTGAAAACAAAGCTTTGTGGTGACATATTTCAGTATGACAACTTGGTGGTAGCTGTTGTGGAGGGTGGAGTTTATAGAACACGGTAGAGAACAAATTAAACTAAAAATACATTGCTTAATATTAACACCTGAATAATCTATATGAGTGTGATCTGCATTTCTATATCAAGCTACAACTTTCCTGATTACCTCTCAAGAGAGATTTATATATACAGGTACTTTCATTCTTCTTATCTGCATTCAGCTGTCCCCTCTTATCTCAGCTTGTACCTAAATTTTGTCTTTCCTGCACCTAGTCATTATTCTTCATAAGTATTTTGTAATTATTCACCTGCAGTAAGTATTTTTAATGTTCATAGCTGGTTAGATTTTTATGTTTAGTAATGGACTACAGTAAGTATCATAAACCTTTCTAACACCAGCATGTACATTCTCTGATCATCTTTACAATTATGAGTATTTTTACAAATTTTTAGAAAAGAAAAACATTCAAGAATATAGACCTTGTTTGGTTTTCTCTCAAACTCTCTAAAATATAAAATTCACCTTTTGTGATAATCATCTTTTCCGTTTACTCAACACACTTTCACAAAAACCAGTGCCCTCAATAACATAGATATACCCTGTATATATAAATCAATATTTTTAACCTAAAACCTAGCAGATAAATTTTAAAATGACTATCATGTTACACTGCAGCAGTTACCCTGTAAACTATTTTAACACCTCCATTAGCACAAACAATTTTTGTTACAAACAACAAAATATATCATTTAGCCAATCTAACTGGAAGTGGTTGAACCAGCAGTAGGCAGAATAAAGTGAGCAGCATGATTTCTAAATGTATGAAAGTAACCAATTAATCTCTACATCCAACTACAGTAAAACGTTAATAGTTTGGACATCTCACCTGCTCATATATTTTTTTTAATATCAGATGGTTCTAATATTTTTCTGACATTCTCTTTTCACATAATGATCCCTTTAATACAACCACATGGTTTGCTTGGAAATGCTTAGATAATTCTGGGAGATCTAATGAAGTATTCCAACATAGCATCACCTAGAATAAGCTCAGTGGCTGTGAACGAAAGTGCTGACCCATTCTTGGGAAGGTTGACATATAAATCATATGACTTCACTCGAGTCATCAAAATATATATGGACAGTTAAGTAGCTCACCAATAAGGGGAACAGCTCCAATGATATCTTCCTTCAACTTTTAAAACATTAACTCTAATGACTTCTTATTCAGAAATGTCTCAGGTGACACCTGAGCCACCCCTAGTCTGACTTCAGTCACTATCCCTGCTCAGGTTTCGACCTGGCTGTGGGGGGATGGAAAAGTCTAAGGTCAACACAGTCTCAGTCCCACAACCAACAAAGAAAGGTGAGTCTTTGACTATATTTCTCTCGCATTTTCATATTAATATTCTTGTATATTTTGGAAAAGTACATACACAGGATATTTTATACCTCAGGGGAAAATATTCTGAGTCTTTGGAAAAAATATTTTTCACTCTCCTCCTGATTAGCCCAAATTATTAACGTTCTACTGTAACTGTAATACAGGTGCTACTTGTATGTGGTATGACTATATACAGCTAAATATGTGATATTCCTTTCAATTTTATGTAATCCTAATTCTAATGCAATAGATTTGTGCTGTTAACAATTGGCAAAACCAAAAACCATTTGAATGCAGGGCAGCAGAAAGTCCTTAAGCCTTGTACAGATAAAAGCTTAAAGCTTTTGCCTGGAGTGAGATGCAGGCTGAACTAGCACATGAAGCTACAATTATTAGCAAAAAGAAACTTGCACTAAGTCTTGCCACAGTCACACATTATTTAATAACTAATGACAATCCAAATCCTCTGACATAGTACTGTACCATATGTGCATAGAGCAACTGTTAGGCACACTTCTCAGAGGAGGTTTCTGAATTCTGCTGCCCCACATGAATGGTGAAGAATTGCAACAAATTCCTCTAGTAATACTGTATACTGATACTTCACTGACTAGTAATCTAAAACTACATAGTTAATCAGTCTCAGCTTACCAATGACCTATCATAATCATTTTTGGTCACCAGTACCTGACCAAAACCCACAGCTAGGCTGCCATTAGTTGTATTCATGTCCCAGTATTTACTCTATATTTTTATGCTTCATCACTAATCTTAAAATTAAATTCTAAAATATAAGTTTCATTAGTTGATATACAGTACTTTCATTATCAAAGAAAAAGTATTCAAGATTTAGGTGAAGTAGCTTTGCCCATCTATCATTACTAAGATAAAAATAAAAGACCTACAATATTGATGCCTCGGCAACCATTACAGTCAAAATTACGCAACTGACTGGCTTACCTTTATACTGTACACGAGTCACTCCATTATTATGGCAAATTCACAACCATTTTTCTTTTCTTTTCAATACAGTGTATTCATTTAAAAAAAATACTAATATATATATATATATATATATATATATATACCGGTATACTGAATATTGGAAATAAAAATGTCGGGCAATTTGCCATTGTGGTGTCACAGCTCATTTAGCAACCAATAGGATTTTACAAACTGTTATGTTATAGATGCCAAAAAGGGCAGAATTCAGTATTTAAGTCAATTGGAGATGTAAACTGTACTGTTAAATCATAGTTCTCCTAAATTTTAAATCACAGTGAAAATTAACTTTCTTCAACCCTTAACAAATCAAAGAAAATATAAATAGTCTGACCTACATCCAACAGAGATGTGCAGTTTCTGGAAATTAATTATGCTATTTCTAAATGCATTTTAGTGTTATAGTATTCCCAAGTGTTTAAAATATATATCATTCTACAAGTATTAAATGGTAGGCTGGATCTTTAAACACAAATTCTGTCAGGTTATACTTGTTCCTTAATGATTACTGCAGGTGACCCTCAATATCTATTTTATTTCAAACTGAACTACAACTTTTTGACTACCAAGGTTAAGGCATTCTATAGACTTAGAAAGGTCCATGAGACACCCTGTGGGCACCAGGAAGCTCCTGCATTACTGCATTCACAATGTTGTCCAGTTCAGCCATGGCTCCAGGACCTACATCCCCACAGGCCAGACGCTTGCTCACCACACACACCTCTATGTAACCCAGTTCCTGAAACATGAAGCTAGATTAGTTGGAACATCTTTAAGAAAAAGTACTGTAGTTTACAATAAAAAACAATAATGTACTCTGTACTGTACCAAGACACTACAGTACTTCAGAATCTTTGTCTAACATCTCAGATACTCTGAAACTACATTTATTTTTGTAAGACAAAATAAATTTACATCACAGATGCTGATCAATTCCAAATTTTCAAGTCAAATAATCAATATTTACCCTACAAATTATGGAATGGTTAGATGTGGTGTGATTGTTTTTAGAAGCATATTCCAGTAATCTCCACCATAGTGCATACAAGTGAGCAGAATTAAGGCTCTCTAATAAGGTACTATACTGTACCATATACTGTATATAAATGAGATAGTACTAATAGAGCACAGTAAGTAAGGCCTATGCTTTCAGTTTAACCCCTTGGCTGCCAAAGGTTAACCAAAGCTGAATAAAATCATCTGGCAGTGAAAAGGTTAAACTCAATAATGTTTTTTGAATGTACATTTTCCTTTAATTATTTCTGCACTTCTTTGTCACTATATTTTGTTATCCCTTTAGTTTATTCACACTGATTCTGTTAACTCTACACTATGTACACTCAAGCATCAATAGCTTTGGATAATGTAAAACATCTGCAGCCAATCACCTCCCTCCTTTTATGAGCTGTTCAATTTATCGAATGGCCATGAATACACTATATCAAATCTTTGTAATCATTGATTTTAACACATTTGCTTTGGATAAAACCTTTTCATTTCTTATAAGCTTACCGTAGCTGGAGACTAAATCAGATTAAAAATCATAAGTCTGAGGTACCAACATGAGTAGTCCCAGATGCATTGTATACTGGACAGTACTGTACAGATATTACATAGACCTGAAATATTTTTTTTTACTTTTTTGTATGCTACAGTACTTTATTCTGAATCCCATTAACAGTACTGTATATCTTTTATACAAATTACAGCTCACCTTAAGAATTGATGTATGCCTCATAGTGAGAGGATGTTTGTACATATGTGTGTTCATTGCCGGGCAGAAGACAAGAGGGCGTGCAGCATCCCAGGCACGCACTATGCATGTTAGAAGATTGTCACACAAGCCCTGTGCAATCTTGGCCATGGTATTGGCATCAAGGGGAGAAATCAACATCACCTGTGCCCAATCTCGCAACTGGATATGTAGAACTGGGTCACCTCGTCCATTCCAGGCAGCCCACTCATCAGTCTCCAACACAAAATTTAGATCTGGGTAAAGAGACTTCAAGGCACTGACACTATTATCAGTCTGCATTCCTCCTCTAATGGGAGTTCTCCTTCCACAATGACTACACTGATCACTGCTACTGTTCTGTTCCTCACTATCACTGCCTCTCAACTCTCCATTATCAGCAATTTTCTTCTCTGGCTTGATAAATCCTGACGAACCTCCATGAACTGCTCCACTTCTGGTCATTGAATCTACCTTAGCCTGACATCTTAGGAAATGACAAGCTCGCTCAGTTGGTACAATAACAACACTTGCTCCACGTTCCTGCAGTCTTCGTGCCAGTTCCGGGACTTTAATAGTTGCCACACTTCCCGTACAGCCCAAGACCACCTTGGGACCAGTGCTGGGTGGAGGTAACCAAGACATCATCTGAAAAGTTGTACATGTATAATATAAAAATCCTTTATAAAATTGGGTTCACCTATCTATCAAAATAAACTGCCTAAGTCTTTACAACATATAACTGAAAGCTGAATGTTTTAGATACATCAGCATCTTGTATTATGAAAAAAAAAATTATAACAGATAAGTCAAAGTGAAGAGCTTATGAGTCAAAAGAAACTACTGGGACATTAGAAAGATATTGCTGCTGCTGAAAATTATATTCTCTTCCTAGAATAATTTTACTCACTGATAACTATTCTTGGGGTGTGCCTCTACCTGAACTACAGTACCATAATAGTGATGCTCACAGTAAGGCGTTTCAGGATGTCTGGTTGGTAGAAGTTGTAAGATCAGAAAATCCAAGTTTGCTAAAGTCTTCCTTTGTCATAAGACCCTTTTCCATGCGACAACCCAGGTAGTCCCGTGACTGTTCCCGGCACTTAGTGTTCTCGTTCTTATTTTCACGCAGACAAAGCATGTACCTGTTAAAAGTGTAACACCAAATAATATTCTCTTGTAATTGGTGTTATTTCATATGTACAGTTTATATCTTAGACTTTTTCTGTGTACAATACTGTACAGTATACAGTGGCGGTCCAGACGGCAATGGCCCCTGATGGAGGATCTGACGAGTTTTTATTATTTTTGTTTTCAAAATTTGCCTCAAACTGTTTCTAAATGGTGTTTTCTAGTGTTCCTTTCACCTAGTGATGAATGCACATTTTGCTCTGCTTTCACACATAAAATAATTATCTTAAACAAAAATCCTAACAATTTCATAACTACAGGTATCATTATTTATCTCCTTGCAGCATAAACACCAAACAAGAGTTGCCACCTTTTTTTTTTAACTACAGAACAACAAAAATTTTACCCAAGTATACCCTCTGTAAATATCTTGTGCACTCGGAGACACAACCTGAAGACCTTTTTGAGCAAAATATTTAGTGAAAGAGCATTGAACCTCTGGCATACTGATACATAAGGAGGGAAATTTGAAGTTAAGGGACAGAGAGGAGAGGACAGTGTTACTTGATGGGTCATGCTCAGGTAATATGTCTCTTTTTCTTCTTTTTCAATAACTAAGACAAGGAAATAACTAGTCACTTCAGCCACCTTCCTGGTGGAGCCTCTTGTTCTATATTCACAAATCTGTAGAACAATTCTTACCAACATATTCAACATTTTAAAAAGCGAAACTAAATTGTCTAAAAAAAACTTTTACACATTAGTGACTCACAATGTCTAGGCTTCTCAAACACTGCAGTGTACAGCACAAGCTACTTATCTAATTTTATCAACCATGAACCTACAAGTAGCCCCAGCACTACCACTATTCAGAATACAATCTAAATATGTTAAAAGTACAGTACTTTTGTTTTTGCCAAGTTCACTCTTATACCTTTTAATTCCATTCCATTCTTCCACATCTTAAATTTCTCCACTAAACCTTCAATACTCCAGGCCAAATCATATTCATGAAATAATCATTGACATGTCCTTAATGCTCACTCTAATGCTTAAACACCAACATTCAATTTGATTCCAGTAAGTACTCATTTTGCCCTTACATTCTGTGAATTCACTCTTTGTGTACTGTGGCCAGACTGATCCTTTTGGTTTGTGTTCACTCCAGAATAAATCATAAAGCCTACACTGGAGTCTCCCCTGCTCTGGGTAGTAACATTTAATATGGTAAACCAACTTGATTTATACCCATGAGGAATTTTCCAGTCGTCTGCATGATTTGTGGTACTGTACAGTATTTTTATCAGAGTAAATGCAGTGTAAGAGATGTATAGAAACTTTAACACAGTTATTTTGAGATATATAAGCCAGGAAATGTTTATAGTGTCCTTAAAAAATATATGACTTTGGAAAGGTTAATATATAACATAGATATATATATAATGTGTACACAGTGATGCTGAATTTTTGCACTACAGTATTTTTTATAGGTATGACATAACACCACTCACCTTGGCAGCCTCTATACAGGAATAACCCAACCAAAAATATATTGATCGTGATTAGTTTTTCAATTTATATTTTGGTAAAACTTCTACTGGTCTGGTTGAACTAGTATTCTTTATTTTATATTTATCCAAACCAAGGTACAGTACTTAGTTTCAGACAAGAGGGCTAAGCTTAGTGTAAAGCCCTGCATATATTCACACATTCTCAAGATCCTCAGTGCACTACTCACTTGATCATAAACTTCTTGCACTCGCCTTCATGGTCAAGAGGAAAGCTGCCTTTTTGAGGTGGTGTAGGAGTGAAGGATTTTTGACCAAATGTCATAGATGCCATCCTTCACCTGAATGATCTTACTCTTCTCTCTGTATACCCCAAACATGTGTGTGTTAAATAATAAACTTTTAACATAACAATGTAACTTAACTAAGTATGTATAATTAATGATACCATATGGAAAAAAAAGACAAATTGGTATTCTAAAAATATAACAGCCTTTAATGAAGTTTCATCTAACTGAATTAGGTTCTGTACATGATATTTAGACTAATACAGTCCAATACTGTAGTAAGAATAAAAACACAAATCTCTTATCAAATATATGGGTTATACAACCTGAACACAGATAAAAACTAATATAATATTACAATGGTTGACCAGCTGTGACATCAGACAAGACAACCAACCTTTTGTAAATAAGGGTAACCCCATTTTCATTGTACACTCTACATTAATAATTCTGAAGCTGGAAAGATTTAATCTTAAACAGTGGCTCTGCAATACAATCACTCGTCAACCTTTTTTTTTTGAGAACTGAAGGAGATGGGATGGTCCATTGCCACAGCAAGGCTCCTTATGTTGAATGGTTAAACATTACCATTACGTATTAGGTAAGCAAACCAAAGATACAGAACATCTTTACCATTAAGACATTGCAAAACGTTCTAGAAATATTAACACTTCCATTAAAGTACCAAAAACTGACAGCAGCATATATTTATACAGTATAATAATACAGTACAGTATATCAATAATAATACAGTAATGTTAATACTAAAATAATTACAACAAGGATATACTGCAATTTCTGTATTATTAATGCAACAATTTCCCCTTAGCGGCTTTTTCATACCTAAACTGCGTAGAATTTTCTAATGCTGACGTCAATGATTTAATGTAAATAAGAACGATAAACCTACCTAACCTGTCTTAACTTTTCTAGGACTGAGAGGATTTTGCTATCTCGCCTTCTTAGGATGGTTGGTGGGTAGAGAGGAAAAAAACTACAACATCTACCTATCCTCGGATGGAATTACATTATTTTAGGTTTATGTCAGGTACGTTAGTTTGGGTCAATGTTTTTTATAAATGGTAAACACAGAAGAAAGGCAAATACGGTAGTCTGGACAACACACTACATTCACTCTTAACACAACAAGGGAAAACCCAAAGTAGGGAAGTTGCAAGTCTTCCGCCCATTTCTTTCCATGCATTCCCTAAAACACATTTTCTTCTATAGAGATATTTAGTTAGGTGTTGTATCTCATTCCCATTAATCTGACGTCTAAAGTATTATTATGATATACATCGACACTCTACAATACCACATTCACTGCTTGCGTGCTGAGCATTCATTCTATCCACAAGACCACTGTAGCAGAAGCTCGTTTTGGGGAGAAACAGATCCATAGCCAATTTCCCGCGGCTACTTATACAGTAGGATTCACAGTTAAATCTCCGCAAGGTGTCTCACGATGGCTGAGAAATGAATGATTCTAGAGAAACCTAACCTAACCTCAAGCATGAGAGAAGATGATGAGTGAAATCTCTTACACATCGCAAGACGACGTTACAAAAATTGGTCATGTTCCTAATAACCCCTATCTTGGAGGGTACTACTCGGTCGAGTGTCACAGCTCAAGCTTGATGAAACCACAAGTCCAAAAAATTATTAGGATAAACTTTTTTTGTGGTGAGAATCATAAACACTAAATAATCTGCCAGAGTATTGTGATGGCACCGAGCACTCGACCAACACTGGAGCAGGTTCAGATACATCATTCAGGAGCCGGTGCATGCCCAGTACTTGCCAACAGTGCGTAACAGAGATGTGATTGACTGCCCAAGCGGCTAAAGAGCCGAACTGTGGTAAAGAGGATTAAGTAAATGTATTACCATACAATTAGACTGGAGAAAACACGCTGTAAGGAGCCATACGATTGGTAACAGTATTACAAAAAGAGACATCTTACACAGCGATCAATGGTTAGGTTAGGTTATAATTACAAAAATAAAACAAATGCTCTACACAGCATATGAGTTAGCTTAGGGTTGTGATGTTAGGATAAGTTGGTGTAAATTTTGTTGAACAAAGTTAAAAATATCCTATAACAGCTTATTCAAGCCACAGTCCGCTCACCAAGAAACTCTTATCGTTTAATATTTCATTCACTAAATCTTGCCAAATCCTTTCATCTTTAGACTGAACACTGACTCTGGTTATAGATCGCCAGAACCCTGTGTAAGTCTTTAGGTACACTCTGATCAGTAATGTCTTTACTTACTTACCTAGAGTAGATATATATACTGTCTCCCATAAGACAAGGAAAGTTAATATGCAAGAGATTATGAAGATGTTGGAAAAGAGAAAAACATAACCCTCTTCCTCCCCTGCGCCATCACTGCCCTAGCACTGTTGCCAATGTCTCATCTCCACTTATCAGGATCTACTGTTTAATTACATTAATATCGTACCATATCATCTGTATGTTCGTATTCACCGTAACTTCACGTTATAAGAATTTATATTTATTCATCTCATAGTAAAGGTTTTGCGCTGTGCAGACAATTATCTTCTATAAAGACTCCCGCTAAGTGATCATTGCTGTTTACTTTTACTTCTTTACTTTTATCCTCTTCACTAGTGATCGGCTCGTTAGCCGCTTGGGCTATCGGTCACGTCTCTGTTACTCACTGTTGGCAAGTACTGGGCATGCACCGGCTCCTGAATGTACCTGAACCTGCTCCAGTGCTGGTCAAGTCTGGTCTTGAAAGAGCCCACAGCCCTTTCTGGTAGATTGTTCCAAGAGTTCACAACTCTCACTCCGAAAAAGTTTGCCCTCACAGTTTTCTGGACTTGTGGCTTCTTCAACCTTAAGCTATGACCCCTTGCAGGGGGAGCGTCAGCCAGCTCTAGGGAAGGACACTCGAGTGAGTAGTGCCCTTTGAGATGTTTATACACCTCAGTTAGGTCCCCCCCTTGCCAGTCTGTAGTAAAAATTAAGCAATTGCAGGCCCTCTAATCTGTCAGGGTAACTGAGGTGCCAAAGACTTGTAAGGATTAAGAATGGAGCAATATTAACATTACGGTAATATTGCAGTAAACAGCAACCACAAAATTCCGGAAATTCACTACGCTCAATCGATAGAACTATTTTTTTTTTCTATGATCATTTTCTTATATTACACTTCCGTCGCAAATTGATAATAAGGAAATTATTGAATTATAAAAAGAATAAAATTAGAGCACCTGTTGCCCTCCCAGGGGCGGCGGCGCCGCTAGAGGTTCTCCCAGAGGAGGCGGCGGCGGCGCTTCCAGGAGCCCTCCCAGATGAGGAGGAGCCCTCACAAGGACAGTTGCGCCCCTTGGGGGCCCTCGCAAGGGCGGCGGTGCCCCAGGGGTACCTCCTTAGAGGTGGCCACGATCCCCAGGGGCGGCGGCACCCCCAGGGGCGGTGGACAGTAGACTCAAGGATGAGTGATGAGAAGAGTATATCCACTCCTTGGGGGTCCTCATCAACAGAGGGGACCCAGTTCCACATCAGCTTCCTGATTCACTACGAGGCGGTGGACAGTAAACCAAAGGGTGAGTGATGGGAAGTGTACACCCTCAACTTGGGGGTCCCCATCGACAGAGGGACACAGTTCCACATCAGCCGGCCGAGGGAGTCCTTCTCTTCACCCACCGGGAAAGGTTCATTCGACATTGCAGAGCATGTCTAGGACCTGATCTACATCATCCAGGTGGGATCTCGATGGAAACGTTTCCATCTCAGCCTGCTGAAGTTGTACTTCTCGTCACCGACTGTGGAAGGTTCTGACCTGACCTGTGTATGGGAGTGTCCATATGTTCCGGTCAACTCGAACCTCCACGCATCTGGTGGCTCCTCAAATGTTATGTAAACCTTTTCACACCTTTCTACACCTGGCGAGCCATGACTCTGAAATCACTATTCCAGGGTCACAGCTCAAGAAGCCGCAGGTCCAGAAAACTGTCAGGGCAAGCTTTTTCGGAGTGAGAGTTGTGAAATCTTGTCTCTTGGAACAATTTACCAGAGAGTGTTGTGACGGCACCGAGTGTGAACTCTTTCAATACAAGACTTGACCAACACTGGAGCGGGTTCAGGTACATACAGGAGCCGGTGCATGCCCAGTACTTGCCAACAGTGCGTAACAGAGAGCCAGTACATGCTTAGTACTTGCCAACAGTGCGTGACACAGACGTGACCGATCGCCCAAGCGCCTAACGAGCCGATCAATTGGTGAAGAGGATAAAAGAAAAAGAAAAGTAATCAGAGACGTGGCCGATCGCCCAAGCGGCTAAGGAGCCGATCAGTGGTGAAGAGGATAAAAGTAAAGGTAATGACCGATTGGTTATGACAAAGTATAACTTAGATGGATGTTGGAAATTAATGGAACTCATTAAATCATCCTTTATCAGGTATAAATCACATGGAATGTCGGGTGGTGGAGTGAATTTCTACGTAGAATAGTAGATACACCATAATCTCCTGTAAGTAACCCGAGTGAAGGTATCGAACTCTACGGTGAGAAATCAAGAAACACATAATAATATAATATCATAATATTATATACCATCCAGACATATAAATCCGTGACATACGTATTGTGGGCATGTACTGGCTCTCTGTTACTGTTGGCATTGTGGGCATGTACTGACTGGCTCTCTGTTATGTACTGTTGGCATTGTGGGCATGTACTGACTGGCTCTCTGTTATGTACTGTTGGCACTGTGGGCATGTACTGGCTCTCTATTACGTACTGTTGGCAACTTAGTCAACAGATTAAGGCAATTAAGGATTCAACCTTTGACGTCCAAGCTTGAGTATGAAACAGTGCCGTAGAAAAGGTGAGGTACTTCCCCGCCTGGAGTACTGTCACCTCGTCTGTAGTACTGTTAGCCCGCCTGGAGTACTGTCAACCCCGTCTTGTTCCAGAGAAATGCTTGGGACTCGGTTGATTGAAAATGTCCTAAGGAGGGCCACCACCTGCACGACGGCGCCTCAGCTACCCCGAGAGATTAGAGCGCCTGCAACTGCCTATCTATCTATCTATTATCTATCTATCTATCTATCTATCTATCTATCTATTACTATTCAGTGGTAACTACCCATTAAGGTACGGTAATTACCATTATTGTAGTCGGGGAAGCACTACGCCTATATTTTCGAACGTAAGGTTTTCTTAATCAAAGGTTTAATTAATTTGAAAAGTATTATATTATATTATATTATATTATAAAGGCAAATGTGTTAGTAATATTAAAGTATATTTTATGATATAATTGAGTATGTCAGTAATGTTGGCAGCCCTGATTCGTCAACACATAACTCTTTCCGAAGCTGAAGCATTTGAAGTCCTTGTACAGTATTCTTATTTCTATTTATTTTTCCGTGAAGTTTTTATTGTTGTTATTTTTATGCATCACGATATATTATTTTACTCTAAAACTGTATTAAATTTTATATTTACGATTAAGTTTGAACTGGGTTTTTTTTTTAATGATTTAATCTTCCCTTATTCGGATACGGTTACTGGCGTGAGGAGGACGGACTATTATGACGAGGTGTGGGTCAGCGGAGCCCAGTGGCCATGGTGACACAGAGAGGTGAAGTGCTGCCGGTTGTCTCTCTCACCTGACAGACGCTGTTCTTTAAATGTATGGTAAGTTTTACTTTTAATTTATTTAAACGTTTAATTATACTTATGTAAAGGTAGATATATTAAGGCTATTTGTAGATTTTGTACGAAAAGTGATTTATTTTAAAATGAAATAATTTAAATGGACTTTAAAAATACTGAAGATACACAAGGCTAAGTTAATTTATTACTATTATGACCAAGCACTAGTGAACAAACTAGGTTAATGGTCGTTAACGCTCGTAATCGTTTAGACTAGTTACTATAAAGAATACTTTACTATTTTGGCTTATGCTTTTATTTAAATTGATGAAGTATGGTTCAGTTTTGGGCACCGTACTTAAGACTTTGTTAATATTTAAGTAACGTTCATCATACTTTTAAGTTATGGTCTTGTACCTTACAAGATTGATTCAACTGAAGTATTAAGGATTTGTTACTCGTATAACTTAGTTATGTTTATCGTACTTTAATAACGATCTTCCTTGCATTTTGGTCTTAATGTTACACGATAGATTTGATTTAAGTATATTAAAAGTACAGTATTTGTTACGGCGAGCCTTCTTTACTTTACAGATGACGGTTCCAGTTGGTAGTTACTGTCGTGCTAGAGGCCAGTTAGCCGCATCAGTGGTCGTCAGCATGAATGGTACAGCAGCACCTTATTCGTTGAGGTAAAGTTTGTTCAATAGTGAAATGTAATGTCGGCTTCACTAACACTGCAACTTGGGTTTAGGGGTGGTCGATAGCATCTGAACATTATGGCAAGTACTGGATGTTACTCTGTTGGTAAGTACTGGTTGTTTACTGGCTGTTACAGTTGGCAAGTACTGGCTCTGTTGTACACTCTTGGCAAGTACTGGGCATGTACTAGCTGTTGCCCAGTTGGCAAGTACTGGGCATTTACTGGCCCTAGTTACACTGTTGGCAAGTACTGGGCATGTACTAGCTATTACTGTTGGCATGTACTGGATGTTACACTGTTGGGAAGTACTGGCTATGTACTGGCTGTCACATCGTTGGTAAGTACAGTACTTGTCACGAGAGCTAACACTCGGTGCCCAGAGCCGTCTTAACGCATGGGCACGTTGGGCAGTTGCCAAGGGTCCCACGGTTTTAGGGGCTTCGTAAATAGAGCACGCCACTACTAAATTAATGACGAAGTCGTTTATGCACCTAATGAAGTACAGGAGGTTGCTGGGCCTGTTGAAGTCCGCCACCGAATCTCAGAGGATAATCTATATTTAAAACATAGAAGAATTGAAGAACCTTGCATCCATTACTTTACATGTTGCAAACGTTTGTTGAATAATTCTTGTTCTACCAATTGTTTAAACGTTTGTTGATTAATTCTTGCTTTATCAATTGATTGTTTAAACGTGTGTGGGCAAGGGACCCAGGACATTGCTTTGCCCAGGGCTTAAAATGTTAAGACGGCCCTCTCGGTGCTGTCACAACAGATTGTTCCAACAGTTATGAACACTGGATCAAGTAATGCCCTATTACAGGTTTATAAACTTGTATTAAGTCTCCCCTTACTGAGTCTGCTTAACTGCGATCTTGGTCCAAGTTCCGATGTGCCCACACGTAGAAAGCTTTTGGGGACTGACTTGACCGCGTTTGGAATCATATTGGCAATCTTGCTCAGTCTTTCTACAACCTGAATGGTCTCTGTATTCATTGAGTTCGTGGGTTTGATCTGGAGTATACAGTATATTTTATCAGTTTACTTAACTGACTATATTTGGTTTAGTGTGTGCATTCCTGTTTCAGGTGTAATTTCAAAC